AGGGATGCACATGAAGCAGTTCATCTTGGGCTGGAAGACAGGATACCTGCAGAATCCCTGGCCTCTCCCAGCAGGCCACAGCCCCCCCAGCCCAAAGTGTGTACGAGGCGGAGTTAACGCAGGCCTTAGTCCACTCTCATCAGAAAGGCCTGCTGACCAGGGCAGCCTGTGGTCGGCATCCGGAAATGTGCACTTCTGAGGGGTGCCCACCGTTCCCAGAACTGACGAAAACTGCGCAATGAGATTTAGGCTAAACACCTGCTTTCCTTCAAGGAGCCTGGAGTTTGGGCCTAAGGTGGGCAGAGGGTACCTACACAATGAACCACAATAAAATCCTTGGAAGAGAATACTTCACATGTGCTAACACAACACACTGCTGGGGAACTTGTGAAGTGTGCAACTCCAGGGAGCCTGGACACTCAGACCTGGTTTCCTCACCCCGTCTTGCTCTGTGTAAGTCACACCCCGAATATAACTGCACCGAGTCCCGTGAGTAGGGCTAGCAGACCACCAAAGCTGGGCGTGGTCTCACACTCCCAACACATCGTGATCTCCCGGCCTAGCTCAATGCTCCCCGAGGATCACAAAGCTCTACTCACTCTCTCAACCCGCTCAAATGTGAAAGACAAAGACTAAATGAAGCCTGAAGAAAGCAAGCTGAAGAGTCATGATAATGAAACACAACATATTCCTGCCAGAAGCTTCAACTAGAAAGAAAGATACTATGTGGGGGCAGGAGAGCAAAATGTGAACGGGTCTCTGGGTTAGAGAGAACTGCTGCATGATGTTAACACGAGGATGTTAGAAGAATTCATCTTTCCAGGAAATACATCTGCTACCTTCTACTCTGTACTCCTCTACTATGCACCGATTCTCTCCTCCAAGCCTTTGCACAACTTCTTTCCTCTGTCCACACACACTGCCTGCCCCATCTCTTTTGTCTTTGTTAACGGCAAACATTTTTTAGACTTGAATTGAGATTCCCTTCTTCCGGGAACTTGCAGAGGTCACACAAGGCCCTCGAAGTTGCCCTTCTTGCACTGTGGGACCTCCCCCAACAGAACTTAATACGTCATACATAGAAGAAGGTTGCTTCTTTTCTGGACTACAACCCCGACTTAGGAGAGCCGCCATGCCTCTTCTACTCATGACTGTATGCCAAACCACCTGCCATTAATAAACACATCGATGACTGGTAAGTGAATGAATTACAATTGTACAAGCATTCTGTCACAGAATGATTGGTAAATCCATACGTTTCAAGTTAGAAACAACAAAGTTCAAACTTCTGGCAACTATCAATGGGAAGGTAGCACAAGTTTTTATAAATAATAAACCCAAACCTGTCCCTAGGGCAGCCAAACACCAAACTGGCCAAAGCTCATCTAGTTACATGAGATGAGCAGTTTCAAACTGTCATCTGAATTCCCATGAGTACAGCTATTTTGTTCTGCAGTCAAGCAAAAGGTGCTACTCCATCAAAGTAAAATGACTTACTTGAGCTGACTAGCTTGACTAAAAATCATCAACTTAAGGCTTGCTTAATTTACATATCACCATGGTTTGGTTTGTATGACTACCAAAGTTCTGTAACACAACACTGAGTGACAGGTGAGTGACAAACCACTATAACCAGTGAGGGTGAGAAAAGAGAGCTGAGGCGATTTATGGGACCATGGAGGGGGCGGAGCATGAAACACAGGCTACGCACTTCTCCATAAAGCAATGATCTCAGCAAAGGCAACACTAATGTGTTTTTCTGAACCTCTGCGTCTCCTCAACTACTGTAGCTCTTCAACTACGGAGACAATAAGGGAGGAATAAGTCACGAAAGGAAGACTTTCAGTGCAAGTAATAAGGCTCCTCAGTTCAAGACGCAGACTTGCTAGCTTAATGTTGCCAGTTAGAATGAAGTCACAGCACTCATGTGTGGCTTCCACAGGAAAGGATCCTATATTTTTCTTGAAAATTGCTTCCCAGATCAATAACTTTCAATGTGTGAAACAGATATCTTCTCTCTGCATGTAATCTCTGTAGTTTCTCTTTCACACACAAGTTTAATCCAAGTACAGTGTTGTATTGTACTTGCTGTACTATACAGTAAATGCAGAAATGTCATTCCTAAAGATGACTAGTTATCCATCTATCAACCAAAGCAACCGCTGTTCCACACTTGTAGCACCACCCTTCCCAATCTTGACGCCCTTTAGAACACGCTCACTATTCAATTCTGTCTCCTCTCACCGTTCCATGCTCAGCTTCATCAGTGGAGACGCATCAGCCAGCTGGTCTTACTCCAGCAGTTTCCAAAGTCTCTTTGAAGGAACAGAACACATACCCACACTTCCACCTCGCCCCCCATAAAATTCTTGTGATAAACTCAGTGCTCATGCAAACCAGCCTTCTCTGTTCTTACTATAAGCACAAAACCTCATGGAGGGCCGTGTATTCAGCTCAGTGGTTCCACCACCTGCCTCACAAGCACAAGGAACAGAGTTCGATCCCCGGTTCCAAAAAAGAAAAAGAAAAGAAAAAACCTCATGGAGATGACCACTCAAGGTTCTCTATTATCTGCCAGGAACCTTTCTCTCTCTCTCTCTCTCTCTCTCTCTCTCTCCCCCTAGCCTCACTTCAGAAAATTAATTAATTAAAGAACCATCCCAAAGATACAGCTTCTAGGGGAAGTGGTCCACAAACTAAGGCCCTCCACACAGCCACAGCCATTTTTATTAGTACTTTGCTTTCACTCAAGAGCAGAGGGTGAACAAATAAACAAGTTCTCAAAGCCTAACTTTTTATGAGCTTGCTGCTTACAGAAGTTCACAGACCGCTAGATGTAGAGAATAAACAGGACTACTTTCGTTTCTGTTATGAGAACCAGCAGTGGGAATGTGGCATTGAGCAAAGGAAGGACACTCCTCAGGAAGTTCATCATAATCTCAGATCAAAGCAGTTCCCATGAAGGCGGAAGCAGTGAAGACAGTGAAAAGAGTATAGATTACAAAGGTATGGCCAAGAGAGCCAGTTGGCGGCCTGGACACATGTTTGTGAAAGGGAACAGAGGCACCGAGGATGGAATCTAGTTTTGGTCTAAGCAACCTGAAGAACAGTGTCTACTTTCAGATGGAGACCAGCATGCGTAGGTAACGTATGTGAAGGAAGATCAGATCCACCACTGAAAAGCAGTTATACCAACTGTTCTGCACAAACACCTCCAATGACTCACAGCCTCATCGAGAAAAGCCCCAAGCCCTCAAAGGTCAGGCCTCCTCTCACCGCTGACCTCATCAGACTTGGAACGTTCAGTTCACTCCAGCCTAACCGGCCTACTGGCTCTGCTCAAGCGCACCACGGAGGCTCCTGCTTCAGCTCACATAGCTGAGGCTTCCACTGTGATTCTCTTCCCCCAAGATATCACCAGAGCTCCATCTCTTACCCTACTGCTCAAATGTAACTTTCCCAAGACTCTAAATTCCAACAGCTACCGACTCCTCCGCAATCCCTCACTCTTCCCCCTCAGCTCTATGTATTCATTACCTAATAACATAACTAATACATTTGTCTCACCCTCTTCCTACGGTAGAAGTTCCAAGAGGAGCTTTTTCACACTGTAGTAATTACAGTGTCTAATTCATAACAGGTGACCAGTAAATAGTTTCTGACTTTGTGAAATGCCTCAAACAATAAAAACAATTTGTCAAAGATTCTGGGAAGTTCTATTTGGGATTCTAAGTCAGAGGGGGGCATGTTATAAGAGACCTACACAACATAGCTGAACTAAGACAAGGATTTGGCTCAGGTTATTTTCTACCTGCACCAGCAGCACCTTATTTTCCCTCTCCTGGTCCCAACACTTAAAACGTGTGTAATCAGTTAATAAACACACTCGTAAACACCAAGCTTCTCAGGATAGCCTACCAAGTCTGTGTGCCTTTCTGGTCTCAACTTCGGCCATCTCTCTACCCCGTGCTCATGCCAACCAGCCAATGTTCTACCTAAAAGCTGCCCTGTCACCACAGAAACCTTTCCAAACAGGAGGCTCTCCGCACACCGCTCCCAGCTATTTGCTCCTTTGTTCAAATCTCTTCCTATCACCTTCACAAATCCCACCTGACAATCCCAGCCAAAGCACAAGACCATCACTTTAGCATTCTATTTTTCTCTCCAACACTTAAAGGCTTGTAAACTCTCCCTCACATTTATACATCTTACTCGCAAGAGTAGATCGCGCCCACCTTGTTCACCGCACTATCCAGAACGCCCAGAGCTCCAACCAGAGTAGGAGACGGCTCCATGAAGCAACCACAGCATGAGTGGATCCCGTTCTGCCACTAACGACGCTGACAGTGCAAAGTTAATTGAGACTTTGATTATCAGGCTAGAAGGGTCGCTGCAAATTTATACCTAGGACTATTTCCACGACTCCCGGGAAGACCTGGAGCCAGATTTGAGCAATTAGGTTTACAGGACAAATAGCCCACGCAGGTGTCTGAAACTTTCAGTCTCTGCATGCCTTGAACTGATTAATCAAGCTGACAAGTTACTTGACTTTGGAGCCAGATTTGAGCAATTAGGTTTACAGGACAAATAGCCCACGCAGGTGTCTGAAACTTTCAGTCTCTGCATGCCTTGAACTGATTAATCAAGCTGACAAGTTACTTCACTTGATAAATTACTTGAATTTCTTTAAAAATTAAGCTTGGGGCGGTACATCCAATATGAACCGAAATGCATCCCGCCAACCCCGGAGTAGAAGGACCCCGACAGCCCACATGTCACAGAAGAGCACGGCTCCGACAAACGAACACCGTCCTTGGGATGGGCCAGGCGAGCACAGGCCTCCGAGAGTGAGAGCCCTCTGCATCCCGACTGTCACCAGAGATCTCAACCCGCCCCGCGAGCCAGGGGTCGCGCTTCCGCCCCCACTACGACCTCAGCCCGGGAAATGAGCTCCGGGTCGAGCCCAAGCGGCGCCGACAGGAGATCCGCGGGCGTCGCACCTGCTGCAGCGAGGCGCAGCCCTGGCACCGCGCGAGGTCCGCC